TCCATTGGCTGCCACGCAGCTGGCCGCTTACAAGCGTATCCTTCAGAAACCAGAGGTCCGACATCTGATTGAAATGAATGATCCTTGCGAGTGCGGGTCAGGTAGTCTGTGAGCGGTTCATTCTTCAGCCTAGGTCATCTACCTTTATTCAAGGCGCGAATATAGGACGAAAAACTGTTGCCATCCTTACAAGAAGGAGAATACGCTTCGTTATATGACCGTCTTGCTACAACTTTCCAACCATCTGGGATTGATTCTGCCTAGTACGTTTGTCTCTTTAGAATTTCGCTCAATCGACTTAGTTTGATACTTTGCGACAGACACGAACCAGAAACCAGAACAGGTGTGCAATCTTATATTGTTTCTTGTAACCTGCCCTTATCTATCGCTGTAGTTAGCAAGGAACCGAGACTTGGCAAGATGGATTTTTCCGCACGACAATATACCTAACCGAATCCAAGTCGAATTTGGAAAAGATTTTTGTGGAAAGTGGAAGGTCAGTACTTCTATGCATACATTTCATCTCCTTGTCTCATTCACTTATTCGGAGTAGGTTCTGGAAACCCTTTTACACGAGATTAGACAAGACCGTTCGAACAAAGTCCTCATTTTTACAAAATCCGTTCAATTGTTGAAGATCGTCCAAAATTACTTGGAGACGCAGCGTGAGTAGTCGGTTTCCGATATACCTACCTATAGGACACTGAATCGTCCATTGAAGCATACAAATATCGCGCTCTCTCGGGCGAGACGCCGCAGAAAGATAGTGAGCTATAGTCTGATTCTACCTTTCTAGTACTGACGTCGCTGGTTGCAGGAATGCCCCTGATTGACGAATTTCATTCCAACCCGGATATCTTTGTGTTTCTCATCTCGACTCTTGCTGGAGGCACGGGCCTTAATCTCACAGGTCTTTCTCATCAGTTAAGTTCGTGTTCACATTGTTTACCATTCATTGATAGGCGCGAACCACGTTGTGATCTTTGGTTCGTACTTGCTCTCCCCTTACCACTGGTGGTTCTGATCTGATGACTCGGCGGAATAGATCCTCACTGGAGTATGTTGTCTAACAATCTGCGTGCCTCCCTCATCCTGACGATTTCTTGAAGACCCTGCTCACGATCTCCAAGCTATGGATCGGTACGACAGTTAAACATAAGTATCTTCCGCCCCTGACTCCCTTGTTCAGAGCATACCGGATAGGGCAAACGCGTCCAGTCAAAGTTTATCGGCTACTAGGCGCAGGAGCTCTAGAAGAATTAATCTACAACTGCCAAGTATACAAGCAACAGCAAATGCGAATTGGTTACGAGGCCAGCATACAGACTCGGTAATATCTCTGCTCATGTTCTGTTCCAAGTTCGTTCAGATGTCTTTTAGCTATTTTGAAGGTGTCAAGAATGATCCTCAGAAGCGCGGTGAACTCTTCGGTCTCAAGAACATCTTCAGACTGGATGAGACGAAGATTGCGACAAAATCTTCTGTGAGATTCAGAATAGTCTACTACTCTACTTTCGAGTCCTCATTGTCGTTTATTCAGATTGAGGAAGCCAACCAAGCGCAACTCGATTGGGCATTCGCCAATGTAGACACCAAGGGAATGAAAAAGGAATCCAATGATTTAGAGGTGAGTCTACCAGGATATATCAGTACTGAAACTGACTCCACATAGAACTTAGCTGGTTTAGACGAGTTTGTCATGGATGACACAATAAAAGGTTGGCGTCTCTTTGTTGGTTTCATCCCGTTACATTGACTTTCGTTCCGTAGCGACCCCCACAGGCGCGGAAGATAAAGATGAGAGTAGGATCGCCAAGATACTTCAGACCGTCGGTATCACCTACACACACGACAATGCGGAAATCCTGAAACAGAATGAGATCGAAGTGGAGAAGGCAAAAGAACTTCTTGTGCGTTTACGTGGTTTGCTCGTTGCGCTTGCTGAAAATATTGTCTCCGCTTAGAAAAAGCTGAAAGCTACCGGACGACGTTCTGGTCGCGTCTCTTTGCTTACGGACAACGAGTCCCACTCTAAAGCATCCTCTCGTCGTTCAAGCGGTATCAGCTCCCGTAAAAGGCGCAAAACTACCACTAGTGGGAATACTACCCAGGCCGCCGCCAGTGAACCCGAAGAACCCAAGGCACAATGGCCACCTGTTCGAAAGCATCATCGTCCGAAACCTACCCCCAACAATTGTAAGCGGTCTCTATGCTTCTTAACTTTCATCGTCCAATCATAGTCTCGCATCCTAGAGCTGAAGCACGTTATGAGGCGCTCATCGATCTAGAGTTGATTCGAACCTTCGCTGATATCAAGGAGAAGTTTGTCCCTCAATTGTAAGCATTGAACGTCGCATTCAATACATATTCGACTCATAATTCTGACCGTTGCTATTTTGACAGTCTCAAGGGAAGCTTAGAGGAGCAGAGAAAGTGTCTCAAGGTTTTAGACGAGCACAAACGACAAATGGACAAAGAGAAACGCGAAGCGGCTATGGCGCGTCAGCGTCAAGGGAATGGCGATGTCGATAGCTCTGACTAGGAGCATCATGCCGGTACTTGTATATAATTTATCACTATCTACATATATCTGGGACATTCATGGATTGCATCTAAACGTCGTCTAAATGACTCTGACAACGTCGAAGCATGATACATGAGGATACATGATGGGCGAAGAAAAGAGAGCTGGGGAAAAGCCTTGCTTCAAACTGGGCTACCATTTATCAGGAATCTATGGATTCGGAGACAGCGATGAGGGAATTGAGTACAGTTCTTAGATATCGCTGAGACGTGAACAATGCATGAGACTAACATAACACTGTAGTACTGCACAGTGCAAAGAGTTTGTGAGAACTTCCAGGAGTGTGGGAATATTCAGATACTGACTCATTTTGCTGTGCAGAACGTGGCGGTGGGAATTTACACCTATGTACGCGTTTGGGCGCTTGATCTATCCTTCTCTTTGTTCTTCACTTTCACCATCTCGTCGTCAAGCATAGTGCTACCGAGCTGGGTCACTTGCAGGAGCTCAATCCTTGCTGTAAACATTGCTCAGAGCCCTCTTAACTCCTACGACAGTGACAAGAGAAGATTATCATCCATCAAACATTCATCGGTCGTAATAGATTGCTGTAAACCCCAATCTTAGCCCTACGGCTTACTATCGAATCCATACCACAGCATCATAACTCTTTAAAGTTGCCGCAATTGCTTCCTCAGCTTACTCAAACATTCTCTACCAGTCGAACGAAGATGTTCATTCCCCTGTGAATGCTTCGGCTGCTACTTTCGAATCGTCATCGGATTATCGCACTTACGGACAACCGCACAAACCGTTCGGCTCGGTGAACGCTGCTCCTTCCACGGAAGCGTTCGAGCTTGCTGCGCACTATGGAATTCCTCAGTCGCTCCCCACACCGCCCAAAGCTAACCTTCGGACGCCTCCTCCGGATCCGGGGCCAGAATCTTATTCGGACATTGTGCTCGACTTTGAGGCCCTCAGACAAGGTTACCTGAACATGCTAGCCAGTGCACCGGCGGAGGCTCCTGCCAATGTCACAGAGGATCCAGCTCCGTTCTCTGCACAAGCGCTTCCCCAAAGCAGTGATTCGTCGTTACAGCCGATCCTTGATCTCATTGAAGGTAGTGATTGTCTACATCTTCTCTCTACATTCTGATCGACACATTTCTACAGCGTCACCGGAGTTCAAGATGGAACGCACCTTCCTCACTTCTCCTTACACTCCATATCTCGACAACTCCAACACTTCTCCCTTGGATGATTCTCCTTTTGTCGCTGATCTCGATACACCAATCATGGACCATATCGATGACATTGATTATGGTGTGGTCGACAATTCTTGGATGAATGATGAAAACGCTGCTCCTCTGTTCGACGAAGCTGGGCTATCGTATTGTGCTCAACCAGCTGCGCAACCTGAACCCAAGGAGACACAGCATTTGACTACTGCAGCGGGACCGTTTGACCATGACAAGCTGTACACCTTTTCTCCAAGCAGCCCTTTTCTTGACAGTTTCCAATCTCCTGGTACTCAATCATATCATACTCCGGCTATGAATGCCCCTTCATCCTTATATCGTTCACCTCGTGTCCCTACATCTACGGCGTTCAGGCCAGTCCCCACCACAGCAGACCGTAGTCGCAGCAAGTCACGAGGCCCATCTCTTTCGGCGACGGGCACCAGGAGAGACATCACACCCGCTTCAATGGTTCCCATTGACGCACCCACTCAGGCTAGGAACTATGTTGTCCCTTCCGCGACGTCTCGTAAAGCCAACCCGGTCCATGCTCAGAAGCGTTCGCATTCGAGAGCCTTTGGGGACCAAGAACAGGACGAGCTCACAGGGGAATCACCTCCTGGACCCAATGCTACGGAGTTGGAGCACATCGAGTGGAAGCGCAGACAGAACACGATAGCAGCGAGGAAGACTAGAAGACGTAAATTGGAACATCTGCAGGCTGTCGAGGCTGAGCTTGTGGAAGTGAAAGAGGATAGAGATAGATGGAAAGTCCGGTCTGGCGTGCTTGAAGGCGTTCTCAAGGCGAATGGGTTGCCTGTTCCCAACTGGGACGAAGACGAGTAGAGGTCGCGATCTCTACCCCGGGGGACAGGTATAGAAGTCCTTCCGCAATTTATGTATACTCAATTTCAACGATCTCTGTTTCTGTTTACTTACATGTTACACCCCATCTCAGGACTAGGTCCATCTTATGCTATCTTATCCATTGGACGTTTCACGATATATATATTTTGTACATAGTTTTGTTGTCGATTTCGTTGTTTGCAGTAAATTATCATGACTCCAGAGTACATATGCGCTCCATACAATTGTCGTACTTCACGAGTACATTCGTATACCTCCATATATATGTTCCCTAGGGTACATACTTGAACGTATTGTAGGTTGCTACACCCTTCTCAACAAGCTGCTTTTTGCATGATTGCGATCTCTTTGATTGAAGCAAAAAAGTCAATGGGGCGAATCCGGATTCGAACCGAAGACCCCCTGCATAAAGGATACTATCACCCAAAGCAGGTATCATACCTCTAGACCATACGCCCACTCTTACTTTTTGCGGTCACTATCCTCCCATATGGAATAGAGAACAAAACATGATAAACATTAAAACCTACAGTTCTAGTAGTTTTATTCTCGTTACTCATAGGTCAGACTCAAACATCCTCTGAATCTTGCTGACTTATTTCCTCTTTTTCCTGTCCAAAACTCTGGTCCAGTTGGTGAAGGTTCGATTGAGGACCATGGTAGTGTCTATGTCCGTCAATGATATACCACGCACTGGAAACCTGAATTAGTATCCTCACGATAACGTCTAACAAAAACAAAACCTACAAGGCCAATACCATGACTCCAACCGTGATCACCGAGGCATAGTTCATCGTTTCCGGTGTGACAGGTAAAGTCGTCGGGAAAGAGAATATGACGCAGACGAATAACGTCCAGGTGATACAAAGACAGTTTGCAGTCCACCCGAGTATACCACCACCCATGTAGAAAGGACCTGGTTTAAACATGACATCTGGATGGTTGGCGAAAACTCGGCGGAGGAAGATGGGTATGATGTAGCTCAAATCTAAAGCCATGGCGGTGAGAGCGAAGATAGCGTTGGCAGCGATGGGACTAGCAAGATCGAGGAGACCTGGGATGATGCTAACGAGCGTACACAGGACTATGGATCGAAGGGGGTTTGGGTGATTTTGGAATTGTACCCGAAGAAGCCCTTGTCAGGAAGGCCTAGTACAGAGCTTAGGTATCACCGAGGGTTGGATCATAACAGATAACCGCAGCGTACCATGATCACGGCTAAAGGCGTAGACTGTACGAGAGGTTGCCTGAAGGGCAGTTTGAACGACGAAGAACGCGGTGAAGCATACAGGAACCTTTCTCGGGACAATCAGCTTGGCACACTTTAGTGTAACTAACAAGATGGTTTACCCATAGTATCAAGGAACCTGCTTTTCCCATTCTGAGATACATGACCTAAAACGAGAAATTTTACGCGATTCGAGATGAAAAAAAAGTGGATTTACCTGTAAGAAAGCAGAACCAGATGCTCCAGGAAGGTCTGCACTTTAGGAGCCAACGGTACGTCAAGGCCTGGCTGACTGGGAATGACAGTAGTACTTACAGAGGACCCGAGCACAGCACGATCACAATGTTCAAAAGCCATCCGAGCAGTCCAGTACCAATGACTGCGTGAGCTGTAAGAGATCCCTCTGAATGTATCGGTACGAGAAGTTACGTACCAGCTATGAAGATAGCAGAAGGTGCTGCACCGGTTGTTCAACACTAGAGTTCCGTATATTTAATGACTTGGCACCCACCAGCATAAGCAGCGCGTCTAACTTCCTCACTATCGTACACCATTGTGAGTTTCTGGATGATTATCTTGCGAGTTCAACATACCAGATATGCGCTGTAGCATCATAATCCTAGGAAGTATGAGATCAGAACCAATCGTGACTAGCACGAGTATGAATCACCGTCATCTAGACATAGATGGAGGTATGTAAGAAAACGTCGTTCGCAATGAACCAATACACAAACCGTCCATTGCACACTCAACAACCCGAAGACGAATGCAAGCCCATTGTTCCACCCGCCAGTCTGATTCACGATTCCCTGGCTACCAAATACGTACCCAGCGGCATGCATCTCAGAGCGAGGAGTCGTAGCAAGGAGAACGATGATGATCACTAACTTAGTAGTGATGAGCGACAGCAAAATGCTATCAGACGTGTTAGAACTCACGAATGGTTGCTCCCAGATTGACAAAGACGAATCCAGAGGACATACGTGCGAGCAAGCGCGTGCCCAGACAATTCTACAATAGTTCCTGAGCATGATCGAGAAACTTGCCGGCGATAGGTCTCAACTTACCAAAGCTCCGTGAACCACCAGCAGCACCGCAAACAACCAAACAGTTTTCGCCTGATATAGCTTATCAACATAGATCCTTCATGACGCAACAAACAACAAAATTACAAACCTGGGTCACTTCGTAGTTCCCATCCTTGTGAAAGCAAGTTAGAGAAGATGGACTGTGGGAATCATGTATACTACCAACTTTGCCTATGACCACAGCAGCCCAGATCATGTTGGCTAATCCGAATTCGGTCGAAGACACTCCAGCAATTTGACCTAATCAGAGAGGTATGAATGAGTTTCCGAAACCTCATCGGCTTGTAAACGCGTACCCAGTATATTAAGCCATCCCACTAACCAACCAACCTAGATGACAATGGATTTAGAACGCTTCAACTTCAACTTCACAAAGCATAATCGTTTTACCCGTGCACGATACTTCTTGGGAGTAAGCCGGGCAGAGGCTGTATACCTATATCATGAGACTGAGTGAAGGGGGAGATAACCGAAACGCGAAATAACTCACATTCCACCAGATGTAGGATAAGCACTAACGATTTCAGCGATACTAACGTCAAGTTTGTTTCATCCGATTGAGTTATTTCCCTCTGTCACATTGTACATTGAAGCTGTTCACCTTGAGCCGAGGGCCAGACACATGCTCGCTCCCAAAATCCAGCACCAGACCACCTGTGTATGATGTAGGGTCAGATTACGATATGTAGGTGAAGATAGAGCTTCGGAACTTACAGAGGATGGTCCTCCCGTTAAGAGAGGTGTGTTAAGAGTCGTTGCGATACTAGAACATAGACCCTTGTGAAAGATATAGCACAAATCGAATCGAATCGAAGAACAAACGTACCATGATACTGAATGCGAAGCTGATCTATATTCAACATACACATCAGAAGTCACAATTCAAGCTCTATGTATCCGAATTCAGATCGAATAGTCAATGCTTTACCGTAGCCAGATTTGAGAATTCACGCTTGAACGAAGGCACATAGCCCAGAGCGACGAGCTCCTTGTCATCGTCAGAGAAGACGGTCATGATGGCGGTAAGAAGCAAAGAGGTATTTACATACTCTAGATCAGTAGATACGACAAACTTTCATCTGACGCGCTCATTTTGGTCGTATTATCATTTGAATTGCAAAGTACCTCGGGAGGGATCCAACGTGGCTCCCCAAGCGATAAGCCCTGTCATTGAAACCCGAAGTGAATTTGAGTTGGAGACTTTGCAGAATATGGTCCTTTGGAAAAGCTTGTGTTGTATTCTGCCAGTGCGTGTTCTTCGCGAAGAGAGAAAGACCAACTAACCAACGTTTGGACGGGTCAGAGGATGTTCCGCTGTTCGATTTGTGCAGGAGAAATGATACTGTCTGGAGAAAGATCACATTCACAGAAGAAATAGCCTGAGTTTGAAGGCGGTGAAAGTGCTAAGAAGAATCGAGAAGTAAGAGCATATTTGTTAAGAAGTCCACGGAAGCTGACCTACTACATACAGTCACTGCAGTGCCGTTTAGGTTCATCAAACACAGTCACGGTCGCGAAACCGTTCGGAACTGATTACAACCATTGATTTCATTCAGCACGTTACAAAAGCTATCTGCCCAGTGACAAGGGGCAATAGTGAATCAGACAGTACAAATTCAAGTTCTAACAACTGAGGGTCACCGGCCAACACCCAAGAGCTGGGAATCGTCGGGAATGGGCATTCACATGTACAATTTCAAACATTGGGGATATGATTTGCTCACATATTTAGATAGCGTCTGATAGCATACGGCTCGTCATCGATCATGCACGACATTGACGGCTTGAACGAGATAGCATACAACATGGTGTCCCTGTTCAGCGATGCTGTCGCAGGATTGTGAATATCTCCCCCCAGCCCGCGCGCGAGAAAAAGAGAAGCTGATACTTGTGATACATTCTGTGATTGATAGCCTCATTGAACTGTGAAATCGGTGAAAGGTTGCAATCAATGCTAGGGAAAATCGATGATGATTCGTGGGTCGGGACCTAAGATCACCACAGAGGTCATCGGACGGACAGTGACCATTCGTCATAGTTGCAGCGATGGTTTGCATTGGTAACAAGAGATCCTAGGGAACGAACCGAAATGACGAGGGGACAGCAGATCCCGTCCAACTATCAACGCCTCTTCGTCCGTGCTCCTGTGTTTTGGTTCTAGTTTATGCCAAATGGGCGAAAAGTCAGCATCCTCATCGGGAATGATCGCTCTCCGACCGTCCTTCATGAATTCCAAAGCCGTCCGTGTCCTAATGGTCATCCATACGTACCGAGCCTTCCCCGAGCCAAGCCGCATACGCTTGCGTAATGTTAATAACTCGAAGGCGCTCGCCGCTAGGTCTCGCGGAAGATTTGAGCCATAACTCAAAAGCCCGCCATAAAGGCGGATAAGATCGTTGCCAAGGGAAGAACTTTGAGGAAGAAGCTTGAACTAGCATCGGGATATCTCGAAACGTCGACGGCTTGGCAGTGCAAGCGTGCAAAGCTCTTGGGTGTAGTTTCTAGTTTCATGTTCCTAAGCAATGGTTTGCACCGGTAGAGCGTATTATTGTCTTCTACGCTGTATTCCGGCTGTGTCCAGCGTTCGGAGTGATCCTTCAGGGCTGAATAGAAGGAAAGAGACCGTCGAGTCCGGAGAAACACTTCCGGTGCTATTCTCGTGGTGTTGGGTATGGGAAGAGAGTGCATACAGGTGCGTGCACAAGGCTGACAGAATAATCCATCCGAGCAAGCCACAGTAATTTTTGGACTCGGCATGAAAGGAAGCCTATGCTTAAACTTGTCGTCCGAGTCTCCGACAAGTTCCAGAGCACCAGATGCAAGAGAAGGGCCTTGCAAAGGCTAGGCTGTGACAGAATACGAAGGGACATTGTCTTTGAATCTTGATCACCAAGTATATGAAGCCAAACGGACATACTTAACCTTCCATGACCAAAGTGAAAAGTTTGGTTATAGAGGGGGATGGAGTTTGAAGCATCCCAAAATGGCCCGCCACATACTTTAGACACGGGACAAGGCGGTGAATGCAATGATAAGCTTGCCTATGAAGAGTGGATGGTGGTCACACTGGACAGCATTAATGTTTGAATTGAAGTGAAGCGCCTTCCCTCATGTAGACATAAATTGAGGCTGCCAAATGATC